TCATCCTGTCACTTACACTTGTGAGATTTTTAAAACAAGATTAACTTTAGCACTGAAGAGTGAACATGACCAAGATGCAAATAGACGGAGAGTTGCTGTGTTACGTAAACATTATTTTTGTCCTGCAGTAATTTTTAGATTTACTTGTCTGACTACCCTCAGTGTTTGCACTGAGGTCCATAACATTCAAGTGGCATTACTTCTCCAGAGCTATTTGTTGAATTGAGCTGAAACATTGTGTTGTAAATCCTGGCTATAAGAAATTTTGTTCAAAATAGGAAATTTGTAACAACTGGCAAACGGACATCTTAAATTGTTAGTTCATCTGATTGAATGTCAAGGGAGCTTGTGTTGTCGCCTGTTTGTCCGTCATCTGCCGTAATCATCTCCTTCTCTCTGAAACCACAGGACCAATGAACCCATACATCCACATGCTTGTTGGGGCAGCTGGGTAGCCAAGTGGTTAAAGCGTTCGCTCGTCACGCTGAAGACCTGGGTTTGATTCCCGACATGGGTACAATGTGTGAAGCCCATTTCTGGTGTCCCCCGCCGTGATATTGCTGGAATATTGCTTAAAGATGTGTAAAGCATCACTCACTCACTCACTCACATGCTTGGTTCCACCAATGATAACACTCCAATTTGTATGATTTAAAGATGTATGGTTCCGATTTTCAATTTGTCCACCAGAGAAGCCTGTTTGATGGCCATTTTTCAGTTATTTCTGGTCAAAATGAAGTGACATTTGGTATTTTCCATTCTTGCAATACTTTAAATGTTGACCTTCTCTTGACCTTGCTTTTATATTCTCTCAAAATTAATTTTTGAATCTGTAAACATCTTCTCTGAAGAGATTGCAAGAATGAGGAAGCTGTACTTTGGCATGATGTTCTCCAAATGATGACATAGAGGAGTGTTTTAGTGTGTGTTAAATATTTTTGCAGAAGATATTTGAATATCACTGTTGACAGCAACTTTTGTTAAGGCGCTGTCTCTGTTGACATTTTAAACTGGTGACCTCATATCCAGGTGAGCTACAGTGCTGTGGCCCCATGTCAACCCTGCATGTGGTATGCCCAATAGCACATGCTATATTTTGTCTGTGTGTAGTGAGAGTTGGCACAACATCAACACTTGGGATTCATGTACCACTGTGATGCCACAAGTTCCATGCAGTCATGACTAATTGTTTTTTTGGCCATCTACATTCATCAGTGTATAATTCCTGAACATGCTGTTAAGATGTCTATCGTATAGAAACATCTGTTTGCTTCATTTTCTTATTCATCTTCACTATTGTACAACCATTCTGGTTCAAAATTATATTTAATAACTTTAATAATAACTCAGGTGAGTCCCGGTGAGCTATTTTGGGTTGGGTGCTACATGAGAATGAAAATCAAATAACAAAACACCCTATTTATTTCCTCACACTGTGCAGTTATACCTGACATTAAACATGTTAACCAAAAGGTTTACATAAAGTTATTTACCACTGAAGATCCGGGGTAGAATTGGTCTTCAGCAGCCCATGCTTGCCGTAAAAGGTGACTATGCTTGTCGTAAGAGGCGACAAATGGGATCGGGTGGTCAGGTTCTCTGACTTGGTTGATCTATGTCATTGTGTCCCAATTGTGTGGATCGATGATCATGATGTCAACCACTGGATTGTCTGGTCCAGACTGGATTATTTACAGACCACCGTCATATAGTTGGAATGTTGCTGAGTGCTGTGTTAAACAACAAACAAACAAAAAACAACAAAGTTATCAGCCCAAAAAGGATTTGTTGGAATGGCTCATGAAGAGAATCCTTCCCTATGTATCTTAAAGCAGGTGCACAGTGCACAGAGAACCTTGAACCAGTCTCAAAGTAGGGATGTAAGGCAGTGTGTGAAGCACTCCCAATGTTCTCAATAGGAAACGTTGAACGTTTAATGAGGAGTGCTGGTAATTCTGTGTATGCTCAACACTAAACCAATGCCATGAGTTTGGCTGTCAGTGTTTCTGTATCAAGATATGATTGGATGAAGAAGAAATACCATTCCAGTACTATTTCAATACCATTTTCAGTGCCTCTGTAATCTTTGGAAGGATCATATTTTCCCTTGTTTGGTCTTTCACCTGCAACAGTGAAATATGTTTTCCACAAGCTCCATGACAGCCAACTGAAGTGCTATTTTCCTGTTCAGCTGAGTCCTGCTTCTCCTCATGAAAAGACCCTCAGTTTCATCTTGATAATGTGGAACAAATGGCTCCTTGCAAGTTACATTTCTTGATTATTTTGGACATGAATGAGATGAAGTTGTTGCTGCCAGACCTCTGAATCCCTTCAGGATTGTAATTCATGAAAATTCCTTCAAACTTCAGCTTGAAATGTAAATTGATTTTCTTGAATGCTGTTATTAGATTTGATGAAATCCAAGTCAACTGTGGTTCAGAGCTCGGCTGGTTAATGATCCAGCAACATGGCAGAGAGAGATAGTCAGGTCTGTAATGCATTCTGTCACATTAGCCTGATAGCACCAATAATCTCTGGATCTAAACAGCAGATTGTGGAGACTAGGACTCAAGAAAATGTTGAACAAGGTGCCCTGGCATTTGTCTTGAGCTAGATGTAGGATATCAACACTATAGGGTTGCAGCTGGAATGCTGCTATTGTTGTGTGCGCTCCACTGACCTACAGGGAATTGGGCTGGTGCTTCAGCCATGGTCAGTGTGACTCAATTCTCAACGGTTTTAAAAAAACAAACAAGTCAAAACATTCTTGACATTTCCATGTGTTAGGGAAAACTTTTTTGTCACTGATAAATCCATTATAGTCCTTGCAACAATGTAAGCTTTGTTTAGATATCAATGCCGAGTATAAAGAATACTCCAAAGGTACTGAAGCTCACCCGCTGATTCAGCACAATATGCAATTTTTTATCCATTCTATACATTACCGTCACTTGGAAACAATAGAGTTAGACTGTCCAAGAAAGGTTAAAATCTAGAGGCACCCAGCGCCTGACGTGTTCTCTAACTCTATCAAAAGCATAGGGTACTTGTACCTTTCTGATTATCACTAAGATGGCCAACAAGATGATCTCAGTTTGATTAGGTAGATTTGAGAAAACATTCTCTTCCCCGAGTTATATTTACTGCTCCCTTTGATTAATACATTTGAAAATATGTAGTTTTGATAGGAACAAATAACTCCATTTAAATTGAAAAGGAGCCCCAGTGAGATGAGCCTGAAGAAAATCTAGACTTGCTTCATTTAGTGCTTTTGCATTCAGAAAGGGCTGGGCGGAAGGGAAAGTAATATGGATCAGGGACTATGAGACAGACTACCTTTGTTCTACCAAAAGATGACGTAACCATTTTTGATAGTTTTATGGAGAGTTTAAGCTCAATTCCTCATAAGGTCATTAAGGGTAGTCTTGAATAAGTGCTGAAAAACTGAAGATAACAGATGATGTGTTACTTCCTGTTGTTTAAATAGGCGAGCTAAATTGTCACATGTTTGGGGTTGCAGAATTTTCAAAGCATTCGTAGGTTCCCTACAGATGTTGTTTGCTGCCATTTACTTTTTCAAATTATTGACTCTGATTGCCTTGCATTTCTTATAGATGGTCACTTTTCCTAATATCCAAAAGCTAAATTGTGAATATTTTCCCCTTAAACTTAATCTGGTATATTTGTCTTTCCCTTAAGTTAATCTGGTATTATTTCATTGCATTTTTGCATTTGTGGAAATGTCTACAAATACTGTAATGCATATGACTCTGGTACTGAGAAGCTTGAAAGCACCTGGTGTGTGAGGTGAACGTTCTGCCCATCTGCTGTTTGACATGAGGTGAACTTCTCAGATGGTACATTAGATGGGAGAACACAACTCATGGTTATAGTTTGTTGTGAGGGAAACAGTAGTTGAAACATTTCACATTACTTTCAATTCCTATGTTTTACATCTGCAGAACTCGGGGAAAGACATGTTTTCTTCAGCATCAGGTTTTGGAGTTTTGTTGTAGACAAATAATTGGGGTTTTATTGATGGCATGTTCGGTTGTCTGTCCTTGAATCTGTCTGTGATAATTTCCTTTCTGGAGTGGAACTCGACAAAGTTGGACACCACGTGAAAATCATGACTATGGAGGTAATTTTTAAAGATATTTCTTACCACACCTGTGCAGAGTATGTGCCTCTTGCTGATAAAGTACAGTAAACTATGGTTATAACGATTGTTTGTCATAAACGTGATTTACTGTAGTTCACTTTTGGAATTTGGGCTTTTTGTTACTTCCAGGGAACTGGTTTGAGGTCCAGGCAATTTTAGGTTTTGCCAGTTACTTTTTCTCTAAGTTGTTAGGGAAACGTGACCTTCTGCAAATCAATCTTTTCCATCAGGTGAATAATTAGTTTTGTGCATTCCAGTTCTACCAACCTCTAAATATAAATCAAAGATTTCCCACATTAATATATATTAAAAATGTCATTAACCGGTTATGATGAAATAATTATTGATTGGACACATTCAAACTGTTGATTATTGTGAAATCCCAATGTAATCGGTCCACTACTCTGTTAGGGTAATGCATCGTCCCCACACTGCACCACAGATGGGGGACGGGGCAGTTAGTGCTCCACTCAATTTCAGGTTGTAATTTGTATGTATAAACTTTACAGGGGTACCAGGAATGTGTGAGTGACTCGCACACTTTCTGAGGGAAAGGGCAATATTGAGAACTTGCATATCAATGTTGTATTTTATATGGATAAATTTGATATTTTAGGTTTTGATTGAGAATACGTGTGACTTTCTGTTTTCCTGAAACTGGATGCACAAACAGGTTTATCCAGGACAGGAAGATAAATTGAGATCACTCGCTTGAAAGGTCGCTGTTTTGGGACATGTTTATGTTTCATCAGTAGTAGATCAAAGTTAGGCTTGAGAAATGTGACCTTGGATAAAAACGGGTTCCTGTGGTCCTAGCTAACTTCAGTGCACTCAGATTATGTCCACAATCCAGATTACCTTCCTCATGTGTCACAGATACAATTATAATGATCCCCTGAATGTCAAGATATGGCCAGAATACTGTCATCATATGTCCAGAATACTGTCATGATGTGTCCAGAATACTGTCATCATATGTCCAGAATACTGTCAAGATATGTCAAGAATACCTTCATGATATGTCCAGAATACTGTCATGATATGTCCAGAATACTGTCATGATATGTCCAGAATACAGTCATGATATGTCCAGAATATTGTCATGATATGTCCAGAATACTGTCATGATATGTCCAGAATACTGTCATGATATGTCCAGAATTTTGTCATGATGTGTCCAGAATACTGTCATCATATGTCCAGAATACTGTCAAGATATGTCAAGAATACCTTCATGATATGTCCAGAATACTGTCATGATATGTCCAGAATACCTTCATGATATGTCCAGAATACAGTCATGATATGTCCAGAATATTGTCATGATATGTCCAGAATACTGTCATGATATGTCCAGAATACTGTCATGATATGTCCAGAATTTTGTCATGATGTGTCCAGAATATTGTCATGATATGTCCAGAATATTGTCATGATATGTCCAGAATATTGTCATGATATGTCAAGAATACTGTCATGATATGTCCAGAATATAGTGTATGTGTCCAGAATCCCGTCATCCTGTGTACTGATATATCTTCATCCCGTGTACTGATATATCTTCATCCCTGTGTCCAGAATCCCGTCATCCCTTGTACTGATCTATCTTCATGTGTCCAGAATCCCGTCATCCTGTGTACTGATATATCTTCATCCCGTGTACTGATATATCTTCATCCTGTGTACTGATATATCTTCATCCTGTGTCCAGAATCCCGTCATCCCTTGTACTGATCTATCTTCATGTGTCCAGAATCCCGTCATCCTGTGTACTGATATATCTTCATCCCGTGTACTGATATATCTTCATCCCGTGTACTGATATATCTTCATCCCGTGTACTGATATATCTTCATCCCTGTGTCCAGAATGCTGTCATCCCTTGTACTGATATATCTTCATGTGTCCAGAATCCCGTCATCCCGTGTACTGATATATCTTCATCCCGTGTACTGATATATCTTCATCCCTGTGTCCAGAATGCCGTCATCCCTTGTACTGATATATCTTCATGTGTCCAGAATCCCGTCATCCCGTGTACTGATATATCTTCATCCCGTGTACTGATATATCTTCATCCCGTGTGCTTATATATCTTCATCCCGTGTACTGATATATCTTCATGTGTCCAGAATACAGTCATCCCGTGTACCGATATATCTCTATCCTGTGTACTGATATATCTTCATGTGTCCAGAATCCCATCATCCCGTGTACTGATATATCTTCATCCTGTGTACTGATATATCTTCATGTGTCCAGAATCCCGTCATACCGTGGTCCTGTGCACAGCGCACAGATCACAAATCAGGTCTCGGAGAGTAGTTGGATGGGTGACCACGTTCAGCAGCTTGACTCCTGAGAGTTTCTAGGGCTTGGGTCTGGCCCCACAGTGAAGCACATGTACCACATGTGGTGTCTCATTGGGCAAGCGACTTTGTTCGAAATGTGCCTCTGTTCACCCAGCAGTGAGTGGGTACCCGGTAGGATGAGATGGTAATGTGGCTGTTAGTCACTGTGTCACTGTGTGTGATCGGAATGATTGTATCTTAAACAATTATTTTAACAGGAATAATATGTTCCAACATCCTGATATTTTAGTTGCAGATTTACAATATATATTTGAAATAAATTAATAACCCCAAGCGTAACACTTTGGTGCTCTTGCTGGATATTTTTTACGTAAGGAAGAATTTGCTCAATCACCGTCAATGCTCCCGCGCTCGTGAAAACTTTATGTTGACATATAATAGTCAAACTACAACAAATATGACTTTTAACAAGTCAAAGTGTGGCATTTATGATATATATATCCATTCTGTTTCCACTAAAATTTGTTTCAAGGCACCAATAGTGGTTGCTGTAAATAATGTTTGAGTTGTGCGATATACCATCACTTTACACAATTTCGCCAAAATGAATGTAAGCAATATTGAAAGAAATTTTGAATAAAATTAATAAAACAGGTCACAAACATAAGTCCAGATAAACATTGAACTCTTTTTATAACCAGACAGTTTAATTACAAGATTATTTTGCATACTTCAGTATGGATTGTTGATATGGTATTTCCGGTGTTATGGTGTTAACGTTATCTTTGTCTTTGGGGAAGAAAACATAAAAACACCTCTATCCTGTGTATAGGGCGACCCTCTTTGAAACCCCCCTAATTCTAGGTACGAAAAACTTGCCTTGTACACAGCGATACACAGTAGTATATTTTGGGGACTTTGTTAGTCTGAATGAGTGACATTAAACATTTGCCTTTTTGATGTGTCTTGCAGTGAATTGTAAGACATTCTTGATACATACCTTGAATGTGTACATCTCCTTTATATGGCGATGCATCAGTGTGATCCTGCATGCGGATGGCATATTGCTGGAATATGCCTCTCTTCTGACATTCTTTCTTGTTACAGAGGATGGGTTTATTGTAAAAATGTGTTTATGTTATTTCTGGGTAATAAAAGATGTCTAGAAAGTAATCTTTAATGACTGCCTGTGACAGCTTTAAAAGCAGTTGAACATATCCCAGTTCTGTTGAAGTGCCATCATAAAAACTACATGCATGACAACTGTTATTAGTTTATCAGCTGCAGGGGTAACTTGAACCCAGAGTATTCTTTTCAAGACCCATGACTTTTGGGAGTTCAGAGATGAAGCGGTTTCACACTACAGGGAATGTGTGTCGCTGTCACTTTGCGGTGTAGAGAGGTAGAGGTCTCACACAACAGATCATGTGTGTCGCTGTCACTTTGCACTGTGGAGAGGTAGAGGTCTCACACAACAGATCATGTGTGTCGCTGTCACTTTGCACTGTGGAGAGGTAGAGGTCTCACACAACAGATAATGTGTGTCGCTGTCACTTTGCACTGTGGAGAGGTAGAGGTCTCACACAACAGATAATGTGTGTCACTGTCACTTTGCACTGTGGAGAGGTAGAGATCTCACACAACAGATCATGTGTGTCGCTGTCACTTTGCACTGTGGAGAGGTAGAGGTCTCACACAACAGATAATGTGTGTCACTGTCACATAGTGCTGTGGAGAGGTAGAGGTCTCACACAACAGATAATGTGTGTCATTGTCACTTAGCGGTGTGGAGAGGTAGAGGTCTCACACAACAGATAATGTGTGTCACTGTCACTTAGCGCTGTGGAGAGGTAGAGGTCTCACACAACAGATAATGTGTGTCATTGTCACTTAGCGGTGTGGAGAGGTAGAGGTCTCACACAACAGATAATGTGTGTCATTGTCACAAAGCGCTGTGGAGAGGTAGAGGTCTCACACAACAGATCATGTGTGTCACTGTCACATAGTGCTGTGGAGAGGTAGAGGTCTCACACAACAGATAATGTGTGTCACTGTCACTTAGCGGTGTGGAGAGGTAGAGGTCTCTAACAACAGATCATGTGTGTCACTGTCACATAGTGCTGTGGAGAGGTAGAGGTCTCTAACAACAGATCATGTGTGTCACTGTCACTTAGCGGTGTGGAGAGGTAGAGGTCTCTAACAACAGATCATGTGTGTCACTGTCACTTAGCGGTGTGGAGAGGTAGAGGTCTCTAACAACAGATAATGTGTGTCACTGTCACTTAGCGGTGTGGAGAGGTAGAGGTCTCTAACAACAGATCATGTGTGTCACTGTCACTTAGCGGTGTGGAGAGGTAGAGGTCTCTCACAACAGATCATGTGTGTCACTGTCACATAGTGCTGTGGAGAGGTAGAGGTCTCACACAACAGATCATGTGTGTCACTGTCACATAGTGCTGTGGAGAGACACTTAATGCTGTTGTTAGGTCGAGGTGCCTTACATAGCAGAGTTGATGCCCTGTTTCTGACAAAGATTGTAAAAATGGTAATGGTGGGTTTTTGGTGCTTGTTGAGAATTTACTGCAGCTTTTTGACACCACCATAGAGAGGGTCGGCTGATAGTTTGGGCTGCAGTCCCAGTTTATCTAGGTCCTGATACAGCGGTTCCATCTCTATTCGCCTACAGTGCATTTCTGCCGATGTGTCTGACTGTCGAGAGCATCTAGCACCTGACTGATGAGGGGACCCAGCATCTGACAGTAGAGAGCATCCAGTGTCTGACTGTAGAGAGCATCCAGTGTCTGACTGTAGAGAGCATCCAGTGTCTGACTGTAGAGAGCATCCAGTGTCTGACTGTAGAGAGCATCCAGTGTCTGACTGTAGAGAGCATCCAGTGTCTGACTGTAGAGAGCATCCAGTGTCTGACAGTAGAGAGAAACCAGTAAACCAGTGTCTGACTGTAGAGAGCATCCAGTGTCTGACAGTAGAGAGAAACCAGTAAACCAGTGTCTGACTGTAGAGAGCATCCAGTGTCTGACAGTAGAGAGAAACCAGTAAACCAGTGTCTGACTGTAGAGAGCATCCAGTGTCTGACAGTAGAGAGAAACCAGTAAACCAGTGTCTGACTGTAGAGAGCATCCAGTGTCTGACTGTAGAGAGCATCCAGTGTCTGACTGTAGAGAGCATCCAGTGTCTGACTGTAGAGAGCATCCAGTGTCTGACTGTAGAGAGCATCCAGTGTCTGACAGTAGAGAGAAACCAGTAAACCAGTGTCTGACTGTAGAGAGCATCCAGTGTCTGACAGTAGAGAGAAACCAGTAAACCAGTGTCTGACTGTAGAGAGCATCCAGTGTCTGACAGTAGAGAGAAACCAGTAAACCAGTGTCTGACTGTAGAGAGCATCCAGTGTCTGACAGTAGAGAGAAACCAGTAAACCAGTGTCTGACTGTAGAGAGCATCCAGTGTCTGACTGTAGAGAGAAACCAGTAAACCAGTGTCTGACTGTAGAGAGCATCCAGTGTCTGACAGTAGAGAGAAACCAGTAAACCAGTGTCTGACTGTAGAGAGCATCCAGTGTCTGACTGTAGAGAGCATCCAGTGTCTGACTGTAGAGAGAAACCAGTGTCTGACTGTAGAGAGAAACCAGTGTCTGACTGTAGAGAGAAACCAGTGTCTGACTGTAGAGTGCCTTTACTTTATGTGGCTGTAGAGTGCCTACTGTCTGTGTGGCTGTAGCACATGCCCTGGTACCTGACAGTAGAGTGCCTGGAAATTGTGTTCCAGCCCAAATTCCATGTGGTCAGCATGTGTTGAGGATTAGCAAATGCAGTGTTCTGACTTCGGTGACATAAAACAAAAATGGGACTGTCCTGAACATGTGCACAAGATCAGTCTGGGCAGAACCCTGGGATAGGTGGAAGTAGGGGTTCACAGCAAGTAACATCTAATATTTATTCCCACATGTAGCTATCTTTTACCCTACCTTTTGAGGGTGTTTTTTACTATAAGAATGCTTGATTCTTGATTTTATCCTTCAGGTGGCTGTTGAAATCAACAGTTAGGCCTTGATAGGCCAACAATGAAGGACAATGGGCAAAGTTTAGGTCAAGATTTATTAGACTTGTGACTTGTTCTGTAAGCAAGTCACTGAATACATACATATGAATCATCTTGTAAGAACAAATCAACTTCCAAATCCCACCATGTATCATGTTGTGCCAGCCCCACTATTCGAGAGACGCCA